TCAGCTGTTTTCTTTAGTTCTTGGAATCAAAACAAAAAAGCAGATTGGGATTTCACAAGCAAAGATCCATATTGCATTTAATTTAAGGGAGAATTTTCTAAAATTTAGTAGTATTTTTCATTTACCTATTCTTTCATTCTACCTCAGTGAAAGCAGACTATGTGTTAAGTGCTGTGCTGCCTGCTGATAATGGGGACTAAGTGAGATGTTCTATCAACCTGTAATTATCAGCTTTCCATGTTATTCACTGTGTTGTAAAATAAGGGCAAGATGGCATCAGGAATGGGCTCATATGGGAACAGTGAAGAGATTAATAAAATTCAGTCTTCCCCCAGCATTCTTACAGTCTAATAACCCTTATTTTAAGAATTGCTGCTGCTCTCTGGACAGTAACTATGTGCTTATCCCAGACATCAAGCTATGTTTATGATATGCTTTGTTTCTAATCCTCAAACAACCTTATAGTGATGATGGAATCTTATATTCAGGTGATGAAATTAAAGTCAACTGTCAAGGTACCTGCTACAAGGAGCAGAAGGTTTAATGCTAATTGGTAAGATGAGTGAGGATTTTATATCATACAACCTCAGCTAACAACTGAAAACTCCCTCATGAAAATGTTTTGCCAGAATTTTTTTCTGCCACAATCCCACAGAAAGGTCATCCTTGGTGACTGGTCATCCCCACACAGCTCATCTCCCTTTAAGGCATAAATAGCCTTCTTAGCTAAAGCTTGATGTAGACAAGATTCCTAAACCAGTATTCTAAACATTGTTCTCCAATAAAGGAGGGTCTAGAAATTCCCTATCAGCTGCTTGAAACTAAAAAGGTAACCATCTCCTTGCATGGTAGGTTATAAGCCAGGGAATGAATTCAAGGTGTGGGTAAAAGAAGATTCCATTCTGTAGGTTAGTCATTACCATTCTGCTATTGATGTGCCCTGGACAGTGCCAGGAGTGCTGGGATAAGCAGCCCTCCGCTCACAGGCAGCCACTGGATCTGCAGCACCTGCTTTTCCCAGGAGCAGTGTATTGTCTCTGTGTCCCCCAACATTAAAAGGACTAGGAAGTACTGTTGTAAGTCCTGTGAAACCTCTGGGCTTATCAATGATAGTGAGAGTACTCACCTTGAGAGATACAGTAGGTGGGAGAGCTGACCAAAGTCAGAGTCATAATACATGACCATGAAAGAATGAAGCCTACTGGTCCATCCAGCGACCCAGCCCTTGAACTCATTAGTAAGGCCCTGTGGACAAATACACTTACAGCCACCAATGTGAACTTATTCTTATCAAGATCAAGTCTGATCATCTTATTGGACATACAAGGCTAGCTTGCCTCTTTGAACTTTGTTCCTATCACAGCCACTTATTTTGTGAGTGCTTGCAATTTAGAGAAAAAGGTGCCTTCAGAAGCACAATATCTAACATTTTCCAGATTGCACTACTTTTATGAACTGCAAGAAAGTTACATTACTTTTAAGGAAACTACATAAGAAAGGTGTCAGCATTTTCAATATAAACTCCATTTTCAAAAGTTTATGCATTCCGGAGAAATTTGCTTGAGGGTAAAACCTGGCATATGGTGCCCAAGTCCCTGACTGTCCGCACCTCATTTCATAGGGACTTACAAATGAGTCTTTCAAATTCACTACATTTGGCATCTGTAATTTTTCAAAGTTAAAAAATGGCCTTAATAGCAGGTAGGTCCTGCATTTAATGTCAGTGCACACAATTCTCAGAGAATAAGAAAACTCAGGAATGCCAAAAGTCCTATTTTATGGATTCTGATGTGACAATATTATGGGGCGGGGGAATTAATTTAAAGGGACAGATAACAGAAAATGTTGTCCTCAAAGGGACACAAAACTTCCTTCATCATTGTTATGATCCTAGGTCCCTCCTCTTCCCTCTTTCCTGCTTTGTGTTACAACATACACAGGCTTTGGGGCACAGGGTGCTGCACTAGGAAATCACTGAAAAGGCATTTTCTCCCTTTGGAGGGGACTGGATTCAGAGTTTTAAGAGTCTTAAAATACTTGGGAGAGAACTCTTAGACAAAGTCAGGAAAGCATTCTGCTTGAAGACAGTGCCTATTGCTAAGCCCACAGAAGCAAGATAAATATCAGGAAAACCCAGAGTGGGGATCTACAGATTTAATCTAAAAAAGTAGGGGGAGTTACTAGGCAGTTCTGACCTGTGCAAATCAGAATACATAGGCATCCTGTATAGGGCCAGCAACCTGGTAGATAAAGGCATATCAACAGCAGACCTTGGTCACAGGATGGGGTATACAGGACCCAGACAGAATTCAGGGCCCACACATATTCCAGAGGAGAAGCTGGGCGCTAGGAGCAGGAGGACATTCTGTGTGCCTTCTGTTCCCCAGGCTGCCCCAAGTACTGTCAACTGAGCAGTCCCACTTCTGGATTTACCTGTACTTTTGGGGAGAATTGGAATAGCTTGATAGTTGTAGTTAAGAACTTGGTCTCAATAATTCAGGAAAGTTGGCTTCAAATCCAAGCTCTTTATTTATAGCATATGGCCTTGGGCAAGTTACTTTTCTGAATCATGATTTCTCACTTATAAATGGCAATAGAAATAAAACTGCCAAGCATAATCATCCAAATTCATGACAGGAAAAGGGCCCCTAGTGTCCCACCACACTGAACACCCCTTAGTAAGTAGGATCATGGTGTGAAGCCTGGGACAGGTTGGGACCAGCACTTCTCAGCTGTTAGATCCCTGTGGCTTGGATTCCCATCTACAAAGCCTGGGTCAGTTCTGATGGGAATCCCCCTTCTCCTGTGTGAGAACCAAATATTTCAGACATCTAGAACTACATCCAAGTACAGAGGGTCCTATTAAATCTGAGAACTGTTGTTTACCTAGACTAAAATGAAGGAAGGATGCTGAATTCTGAATAGCATTTCTTTTCAAACACTCTGAAATGCCTTCCTCTACAGCGAACTGACCATTTATCCAAAAGGTCATTCTGAAACAATTAATTATATTATGTAATTGAAAAGAAAATGAAATAAGAAGAAGATGATGAATAATCAACAAAACTGGTTGAGAGTAAAGCTGACCAAGTAGAGTCCCTGGAATGAATGAGGCTAAAACTTAGCCCTTGGGATTCTAGAAAAGGAAGCAGTCAAGGATTTCAAGACCCAAACTATTCATGGCCAGTCTCTGAAACCCAATGGCAGATGAGATGGTTAAATGACACCAGAAAGAAGAAAGAATATCTGTATTTTCCTCTTTTAGGTTGAGTCTTCAATCTTCCCAGTACTTCCTAAGCAAAGCACTAAACCTACTAGAATTTATAAAAGTCAATTGTGAGCCCACTAAACCTTTGTCAATAGATTCAGAGATTCAGTTTTAATTGTTCAGCATCAAATTAGATTGTATAAGAAAGGCTTTTGGGCCTTCCCTGGTGGTGCAAAAGGTTAAAGCACAGCACTATAAATCTTTGCAGTCCCTGTAGCACAAGTCTGACCCCCAGCCAGAGAGGTGACCCATATGGCATGACAGACCTCTCTTGTCTTGCTTGCTGTTCCCCTCAGCAGTGTATTTCAGTCAATGTGCCTGTTCTGCTCCCCACTCTTTCTCTGGTGAACCCTCTCACCCACCACACCTCTGGTCTGTACTCCAGTTCTTATATGCATAAATAAACATTTAAGGATAAATGATTTGCCTACCAGATAGCTATGAATAAATATGCTATGCATTTCATATGTGTCACCATTCATTATTTCATTCATTCAGCTCTCTAACAGTATGCTGGATATCTTCTAAATTCTAAAGATTCCTTGGTGAACATATAAGGAAGCTGAGGCCTGTAGAGGTTAAGGATCTTGTACAGGGGTTCATGCAATTAGTTGTTGTCAAAAGCTGTACTCCAAGTCACTGATCTATAAAGTATCATTAAAATATTAACTGTTGAGCATCTTAATAAAAGAATGTCATATTCTGTTACATTCCCCACTGTGCCTAACATAGTGCTAAGTTGTGCTTTTTGCTTTATCCTAACTTACAGGAGGCTGATATAAATTTATTACGGGTATTGTTTTCTTTTTTGTTTATTTTTTTAAAGGTGTATTTATTTAATATACAGAGCTGGGGTACAGGCCAGAGGTGCAGGGGTGGTGAGAGGATTCACCAGAGACAAAATGGGGAGCAGAACAGGTGGACTGACGAAGTACACTGCTGAAGGGAACAGCGGGCAGGCCAGAGAGGCCTGCCGCACCATGTGGGTCACCTCTGGGGTGGGGATTGAACTCATGCTGAAGTGGCTTTAGCTTCTTAGTGCTACACTTTAACCCACTGCATCACCAGGGAGAGCCAAGGGTGTTATTTTCCTTAGATACCAGAGACTTTTTGGAAGCTGCCTATTGGCTTAGATAAGCCACACACCATACAAATGAAGCCCACATGATAAGTGGTGTTACCACAGCCACAGTACCTTTGGGACAGACCCTCATAGCATGTGAATTAGTTGCCCTCACATTTAAATTGAGAGGTCATAGACTTTGTTAATTACAAAATAATTATAATTTATTTAAGAGATGCACAATTACCTTTGTTAGGACATCACTTCAATTTTTTATGTTATATTACTCATCGTATCTCAGTTAATAAATTTTACCAAATTGGTTGAAGTCATATGATTCCTAATTTAAATAAGGGTTGTCAAAATTAATTTTTGACCTCTATTGACAGTTCTTTTTCTGTTATAACTCCAGAGAACCATCTAGAATATATAAACATGTGACACTTGCCTCCAGTAATGGCTGGCCTTCTTACCTCTTGTTATGAGAAGAGAATATCTTCATGCTCAATTAAATCTGTTTCAAGCCACTCACTAGAAATTACTACACCATTAATTAGTGTCTCTTCCTTCTAACTGCCTCTTTCCTTCAGATCAGATCCAAATGCCTAAGCTCCTTTTACCCTTGCAGGTGAGCCGTTTTTCTAATCCATACTCTGTCACTCTGCCTAGAATCAAACTGTCAGATGCGTACACTGGACAGTGGGATCGGAACCTTCCCACTCCCAGACTCTGGAAACCGCTCAGCAGGACGATACCTGTGCCAGCCAGACTCCCCGGAGGACCCTGAACCTATCTTATCTCTACAGCCAGCCCTTTGTACAGCTTCCTCCACCGGAGCAGTGACCCTTCAACGAGAAGTGCCTTCCTCTGCAGATAGCCCAGGCTCTGCAGATAACACCATTGTTTATTCCACATCTGACCCAATCATGATGACTCATGGGATGCGGCCTCTTCAAAGTCATCTTCCCAAACCAGCCTCCTCAGGTAAAATGCCTATTCTTTCCCAAGATAGTTTTCCCACAATAGTAATGCACTTACTGACAAAATGGAAAACAGGCAGCAGAAAAGGTACCCACCAGGAGGTGAGCAAGTCAGTGACCTCTGCCCAGGGAAAATGTGGCTGCTGTTAACACCTCCATGTTCTAAACCCAAAAGTAAAGTGACAAGTACTAATCATATCTTCTGTTAGTATTACATTGAGGAGTATACATACATGTAAAGGAAACAAGCATCTAAGCACTGGTATATGGAGCCATAAGTTGATTAAGGAAAAAACCCACACTGCAAATGTTCTTGGGATTTTATCTTTTAAAGTGTAACTCTGAATATAGATCAAATTTTCTCTGAGACATCAATTTAACTGAAACTGTTGTTTGCCCTCTAACCATAAACATACATCTTCTAAAACATTCCGATCCTCCTCAAATATATGTTGAACTATAAAAGACTTAGTTTGATATATTAGCAATAGATTGTGCATCACAGCAATAGAATGGACTGAGCCTCCCATTGGGAAGAAACATCCTTTGTTGCTGTCAATGGAAACAAGCTTTTGTGATTAAAGATAGGACCAGACTAAAGGTCAAAGTTTTTCCATTGTTCCCTCAAGATTAAATATATTTATCACAACCCCAGAAGATACTACATAGCTTTTAACTTGCCTGGCTTATATTGCATTTATGACATGCATAAGCATATGAAATAGAGATCTAAAAACTTTCAGTTATGATTTGGTGATTAGAAAGGTGCCGCAAGTAGAGATTATACCATAGGCTTCTGAGAAATTAGAGAAAACTTTTAGTTAAACATCTTTAAGTAAATGTGATTGGACTATTCCCATGGCAGAATTCTCCCTTCAGACAGGAATGTTTCATGCCATGAGATGTTTCATTGCAAACTTCGGCTCATTTCAAACCAAGGCTACATTTGCAAAAGCTATAATGTATTTTTTTTTTTTTGCAATAAATGCATTGTTAATTAATGACTCAGCCTCCAGAGATTCAGGGGCAAAATCTTAGTTATAGATTATGTGCTCCATGCCTGAATAGTCACATGTGTGACCTCAATTCAGTGGCGGGCTGCCGAGTAGACGCCATGATTAAACACTGTCATTATAACAAATTGAACAGAAACCACAAGCCTCGAATTGCTTCATAAGAAGGGAATAGAAAGGAGATTGTTCTGATCTTGCTGCTAAGACTCACTGCACCAGTTTTCTGAGGTTTGTGTTTTAATTAAATTGTCATGAAGAATTGTAGAAATGCAGTGTGAGGTGGGCAAGCGAGGTCAGCACCCTGCAGGGCGTTTGCGTTGCCCATCCTGGAGCTTCCTGTCCACCGCATGATACCATTGCATGGTCCAGAGGCAGGCCAGTTTTCCAAGGCTTATTTCTCTCTGTGGCCATCAGGTACATACTTGAAGGACCAGGGAGTAGAGAACTAGATGAGACAAAAGGAAAATGGGACAGTGCCCGTGTAGCACAATCACTTCCTGTTCAGTGTACACATTTGAATCGGTTTTTCTATTATTCCTGTATCTGAGTAACCACACAAATTCACAGAGCTGATGAAAATACAATTATTTCATCTCTGCTCATGAGCAAAATGCTGTTGAGAGGCTATCACAGCATGTTCTGTTGATAATCATTGAGGCTGGAAGATAATAACAGCAGTCCTCCTATCTGGTGTGAGGAAGGCATACACTCTGCAAGTTAATCTACACTTATGGATAATAGAGGAACTTTTTAAATCATCCTTGCTAATTACACCCTTGCTACTCAAAGTGTGATTTATAGACCATCACCATCAGAATCACCAGGGAGCTTGTCAGAAATAAGAAACGCAGGCCCTACTGCAGATGTGCTGAATAAGTGCAATTTAACAAAAAGCTCAGGTGATACAGAGGAGAACTTCCCTGCACTGTCATTAAGGACCTCTTAGCATAGTTTCCCAAAACATATTATTGAGAATGATCTTAACAAGTATTCTAGGAAAATAAAGTTTCACTGCTCCAGTATGTATGAGAAAAAATGCAAATCCAAATCTTGTCTCTGAAAATGATGGCAATCTACCTTAGCACAATCAAGGCTCTGAGATGTTCTCTGAAAAGGACACCTGTTTGTTATTTGCAGAATAATCAGTGTCTCCCAAGTGGTCTGCCCACTGAACTCTTTCTAAACTGAAAAGGCCATTAATATTTTGTGGCAAGTGGTCTAAGGACAATTTGCCTTCTAGACTGCACACACAGTGATGCTAAAGCTGTGGTTAGCACAGATGTGCAGGGGACGGAATGTTAGGAAGCACAGCTTTCACCAAATTTGGACCTTTTTTAAAAAAACTACTTCTGAATATTCTTCCCACATACTTCCCTAAACTTGTAAAGAGTTGCTGGAAGCTGATTATGATTTCATATGCTTTCCTTATTTAGGAAAAATCACTTCCCCAAAGCAGAATGGAGCAGAACCAAGGCCTCAGACCTGCTCACCATTTCAATATGCTGATGACACAATGGCCAGTCAGCCCCTTCCAGGCTGGGAGGATGAAGACACCACTGCTGAGACGCAGGTGAGAGTGGGGCCTGCAGGAGCATTTTTTCCGGCGTGTTGGTGCTGCTTGTGAGAAGTGCCCTCCTTAAACACTTTTGTGATAGATTTAATTTTCAATCAAATTTGTTGTTGCTTCAGTGAATAAAAATAATCTAAGGTGCAAGACTTGCCTTTTCTCCTGAGGCACTAAGCAACATTATGGGTTCTTGGAGGGAATTGAAAGCACTTCCATCAATTTGCATCCATGTTCTTGGGTCTGGATGCTCTCCTCTAATTAGTTGTGGCGGAATGGGACTCACTCTCCCAAGTCAGAAGAGTGCTATTTAGAATGAGTGAGTGATGTTTTTTCATTATCTGTCAGTTACTTTAGTCTATATAGAAAGGAAACATGGGCATGTAGGGAAAGGTGATGCAGAGGAGAACTGCCCTGTGTCTCTGGGCTCAGGGTCTCAACTTAAAGCAGAGAAGAGCAGCTCCACAGAGATTCTTAATTGTGTTCAGGGCCCAGGGGAAAGTCACTATGGGGTGAGCTGCGATTTAGCCCCCCTGCATTCTGAGTCTGGCACTCAGCATGGCTGCTGTACAAGCAGGGAGGCAAAAGAATAAACAGTAGATTCTAGCAGGTCTGCACTTACACACAGATCTGTGAGGAGTTCTCCAGAGCAATGGTTTCCAAACTTGAGCAGGAGGAGGGCTCTTACCTTGGCTCTCCTCATATGTGCCAAGTGTCCAATTTGGTATTGATGAGATTTTGTGCTTGTTTTGGGGTCTGCAAAATTGGGAAACAGTGGCTAGTGACAGTGGCAAAGGGATTGGAAGACTGGGCAATTCGAAGAAAGCGAAATACACACACACACACACACACACACACACACACAGAGTGACTCAGTGCTGGCCAGGAAGGGGCTAGCCCCTCTGAGTGCACTCCTCACCCAACCCCAACTTCCATGTTCAGGGAATCCTCTCCTGATCTTTTTCATCATCCTGCACCAGCTCACCCCACTAGAAACCTGCCCTGACTTGTAAGAGGCACACTGTGACTTAGAATCTGCTTCCTTGATTGCCAGGGCAGGAAAGTCGGAAGCATCAGTTAGTTTTATTATTTTCAGTATCAACACAGTGCCTGGTTCCTTTTGTGTTTCCTAGACAGAGAGATGAAAATAGATTAATCTCATTCTCCCCAAGTGTGTGATGGAGACCTGCCTGCTGGAACTCTAGATGTGGGTGTCCCCTGGATCCATAGCTGGTAGACTTCCCACCTTTATGGACATCAGCATTGTGGAGCTACTGGAATCTCCTGTATTGAGCTCTGTCTCCTCAGAACCTTGCACATTACTTTGCAGAGTGGACACTCAATAAGTTTATGTTGAATGGGCAGGTGAATGAGTAAATGAAGAAAGAAGGAAAATTAGGAACTGCCCGAATTTATAACTCTAGCCAGAGGAACTTACATCCTAAAAACACATTATAAAAATGTGTTTTTGTAATTTCCAATCACACAGACTTCAGGGCACCATCCCATGCTTCTGTACTGGCCTGTCTCAGACAAATAAGGAATATTTGATTCTAACAGGCCAGTAAGCAAAAACGATAGTCCTAGGCACCCTTGCTGCTGTACATGGGATTTACAGTCCTATATCCAATATTTTGCTTGTGTGCAGAGGGAAAAAATGTTCATACAGTAACTGACACAACAATTTCAGCATTAATACCACACCAGCAACATTCTCAGGGTCAGTCTGCATGTGCATGTGAACAAGAGGGGAGACTAATTCCTCCAGCAATGACTATCAGTGGATTCAAGGAATTTATAAGGTCATTAAATGCATACTTTTCTAAAGGCTCCTGTTGTTTCAAGAATTGGAAGAAAATTCTAAATTAGGCAAACATTCACTCCTTTGTTTTAAGGTTGAATTTTTTTCATACCCTTTGATACTTGAAAGCTAATGATGAGATCAGTTAAATAAATAAGCCATTAGGCTCGTATCAGCAGCTCACAAGCTTATAATAGGCACTTGAGACAAATAAGGCCCAATAAAGAAGTATACAAAATGTAGAGTGAGAAACTGGGGACTTTCCTGTGCCTGGGACTGTGGCAGAGGGTGGTCAATGGCTTCATTAACAGGCCTGATTCTGCAGCTCTGGTAATTAAGTAGCCTGTACCAGCCCTGCTTGAGCAGATAGACATGCAGAGCAGAGTTGTTCTTGGGGGTTGGCCAGTGGTGATGGAATTCTGTGCACTCCACAGTAGTCAGCTTCCTGTCCTCTCTGGATGCTATGACCCATTTCATTTGCATGAATAATCTTAACAGTCTCATATTACTCACTTAGGACAAGGTACCTAGAATGTGTGCATTCTCTGCCAACGGTGGCAGTGATAGTGACAGTGACCTGGCCTATGGAAATAATGGTTTTGGAGCTGGAAGGGGCAAATTAGTGAAAGCAATGAAGAGCACCACCCAAGGTAAAGCTGGGAGCACCTTGGGCATTCAAGGCTCCCCTCTCTGGGAGCCGCTGATTATGCCTTTTATTGTGCTCTGTCTCCATCCCCCTTAATTTTGATATTAGTTCCACATCTCTCCTGAGATCTAATTTTCTGGTATGTACAGAAGATTGTCTATGTGCATCAATTTGTTTTCTGATATAATCTCTGTGACATTGAGTGCAGTCTGTAAGGACTTTATTTTCAATTCAGACATCTCCCAAAAAGTTTCCAATTGAGTTATCTCAGTGATGAGGACTGACTATAAAGATAACATTGTTCTTAATTACCTACTTTGGCAAGTTAAATCATCCAGTGAGCCATGGATGGAATTTTCTGGGCTCTTTGTTCACATTGTGCTGTGTAGCTCTGGACCTGTTAGCCATGTCATTATGAACAGGTCTGTTTATGAAGTTGAAATTCCCTCAATATAGTTTTTAAATCAGAATTGACTGATAGAAAAGTGTCATCCCATAGCATTTAAAAATAACATCTTTTGAAATGGCATTTCCTTACAGCAAGGGGAAGGATTAACCCCTAACACAAAATGTGATCTGGGATCTGCCTTTTTTCTAATCCTTTTTGGATTATCAGAAAAATTTATGATGCAATGGAGAATCATTCTTTTCATACAAATCAACTTTTTCTCAAATAGCAATTTAGCAATTATATGATGAAACCTTGACTTTCTCTTTCAAAGTAAGTCTGATTACCTTAAGGGCAATGTAGTCTGTCAGCCATATATGCTTCCAGTTTTTCAAACGTTTTAGCATCTGTGACTTGTGGAGATAATATTGGTGTGTAAAATTAGCCAAAAACCTAGCCTCCATTTTGTTCCTTGCTTCCTATGAGCCTTTAGAGAAGCAGGATGAATGATTGAGTCCTGCAAAGACCACCAAGAAGAAAGTGACAAACACCCCTGGCCTTATAGTTGGGTTGCTGTCCCCATTAGCCCTCTGTGGTTTGTCATTGTCCTCTGGTTTTGATAGATACAGGGGGACATGAGCTTATCATCATGGGCTGAATCTCTGAAGATGCCTAGGGTCGGGTCAGGCCCAGCTCAAGTCCAAGCTCTTTCTTCCCTTGAACTAACAGGGCACCCGTGGTGAATAACCTCACCGACCCCAAGCTGCTTTATTCAAGAATGATTTTTAGGGCCCATTCCAGCTCAAAAACTACATTCATTTATTAAACAAATATTAATATAAAGCCTCTTCAGCCACCTTTCCAGCCACAGGCATGTTGACAAAGATCCCTGCCAGACAGTAAACAATAGGTATAATAAACATTGTTGACCTTGATCAGTGGTGGTAGTCTGGGGCACCAACCACCTGCCCAATCAAAAATAGGTGCATAGCTGTTTATTCTCCCCAAAAGTAACAGAGTCAACTAACACATATTTTGCATATGTCTTCTTACATAAAGAAAGCTAGAGTAAAGAAAATATTAAGAAAGTGCTAAGAAAAACTACATTCACTGCACTACAGTGTATTTTTCAGAAGAAATCCACTGTAAATGTGCCTCCATTGTTCACACTTCTGTTGTTCAAGGGTCAGCTATAAATGTACAGTTTGTTGACAGTAGGTAAGTGCTTTGGAAAAGACAAATAAGAAGGCTGGGGTAGGGAGAGCTGAACCGAACTGGTCTGAGTGGTAGTGGGAGGAGAGGATGTTAAAATTAAAATAGCATGCAAAACAAGCCTCCCTAGGTGAAAAGGCAACTTTTGAGTTGATTTGAAGAAAAAGAGGGGGTGAGCCAGAAGGAAATCTGAAGGGAAAATCCAGCCCAGGTGCCATGAGGCTGAATCACAGGAGGCCATCTGGGTATGTCAGAGCAGCTGGAAGACACAGTGAGATCAAAGACATTAAAGGGGCCAGGGCACAGGTCTTACTTGCCATTCTGAAGACTGCGTTTCCTCTGACAGACAGGCAGGAACCTCTGGACAACCCTGAGCAGAGAGGGGCATGGTCCATTTTAAATCCATTATTCTGGCTACTATGTTGTAAAGACTAAAGTGGTGACATCAAGTCAGAAGCTGTTGCAGCCATCGGGCACATGGCAGGGTCTGGGACCAGGGTGGTCACAGTGAGAGGACTGAATGTCATTGGCTAGAACTGTCTGCACTGATGAGTTAGAAATGTACTGTGCTGCATTGTCTGATACCAAAGTCACCAGTCACACAGACCTTGAAAGTATTTGAAATGCTACTGCTGGTGAGAGTAAAGAACTGAATTTTTACATTTTGTTTTTTGTTAGTTTTTCTCTAAGAGTTCTCACTTGAATCCTTTCTTTTCTCTTTATTTTAATTTTAAGCAACTATAATCTAAATATTAATAGACACCTGTGGCTCATTGTGCAATGTAGAGAGTGAGAAAAGTTTGATTCTAGATCTAATTAAAATTCTACCCTATTCACTGATAGATTGGAGAGAAAAGTGAAGGAAAAAAAAAAAAAAACAGCAGCCTCAGGCAGCCTCCAAGCTTTGAGTCCTAAAGGCATAGCCTTCTGCCAGCAGAATGGAGAGAGCCCAGACTGAGGCTTGAGGACTCAGTCTGAAGCTCCATTTGCATGTGCTAACTGCTCAGTGCCCATTTGGCAAGAGGAAGCCCTTGGAGTGGGTAGTGGGTGTGTGGGTCTGGAGGTGCGCAGACCAGGGCTGGTCTGAGATGTGGATGTTAGTGTTAACATGTGGGAGACACTTAAGGCCCGCCCGGGGTCCAATTGAGATCAGGAAGGAGGGAGTCTGTGGGGTACTTGGAGCACTGTGTCCTTTCAAGTTCAGGGGAGGAAAAACCAGACAGGATGGAGGAGCAGGAGCCAGCAGGGTGGGAGGAGGAGCACCTGGTAGAGGGGGGAGGTTTTAGAAGGGGGCCCCCGTGATTCCATAGACAGCTTGTAACTACAAAGAGAAATGCAATCAAATTCATCCCTGTCCCTCCCTCTGGTAGTGGGAGTCTAGTGGGGGGGTGGGGGCAGGGAATGTGGCTCCAGGAAGAGGCTTGATTTGAAGGCAATGTTTAAACTTCTTGAAGAATTAAGGCAATTGTTTGAGTCCAATGAATGAGGATCTGAGTATAAGGGAGGAAACTTACTTTAGGATTTAAGTTTTAACATTGTTTTATTCAAATGAATGATTCCTTATTTGAATAAGGAGTAAATATTAGGGAATGGGTAGTGAACCTGCTGAACAATGAACTTGCTCCCTTAATTTTCTTTATGTGCTCTACAAAATGAAACAAATCTTAGCCTGGTTTTTTGTTTGGCTGTTTGTTTGTTTGTTTTTCTCTTACAATTTGCTCATCTATTTCCTCCAACCAGAACAAACCCCTCTTTTGAAAGGGGTTTATTGCTTTAGACTCTGGGCATATGATGCTCCTTGGCACGAAGCTCTGAGGTCCAGAGAGAGTTACTCTGAATGTAGCACAACCTGCAAGAAAATCCCTTTCCCTAGCAAGACACACCTGCCCTCTGCCTTCAAAGTAGACTTGTTGCCAGACATCCGGTCCCCAGCAGACCCCACCACACTGCCTACCTCTCATCTCCTAGTGATGGAGGTGCTGCCTGGAGGGAAAATGTACACTGAGAGATGACATGGCACTGAGTGGATGCTGGCTTCTAACAAACCCTGAGCAGGCTTAAAGGTGGGCACAGCACCATTCACTTTTGAATTATTGGTGAGTTGATATGGAAAAAATAGAAACACAGGGAAACCCTACAACAGTGCACGTGTTGAGTGTGCAGATTTTCCTCCCTTCGAGTCATGATTTCTCTTTGCTTTCATCACATGTGTCTGTCAGTGTGAGATTGCCCTCCCACCCACCTCATCCCCACTTTCAGTAGTAAAGTTTTATAGTAAAGGTCCCTGGGCTGCTGAGTGAAATTTTCCAGTAGATCTTTTTTTTTTTTTTTGATTGATTGATTGATTTATCAATACAAGAGCTGGAGTGCAGGCCAGAGATGCAGGGCGGGGGGGGGGGTAATGGGGTAGCAAGAGGATTCACCAGGAACACAGTAGGGAACAGAATAGGAGGATCTACTGAAATATACTGCTGAGGGAAGCAGTGGGCAAGGCAGGAGAGGTCTGCTGTGCCATGTGGGTCAGTTTCCTGTGGGGTATCAAACTCAGGCTGCAGTGGTGCAGATAGCTTCATGGTGCTGCACCTTAACCCCTTGTGCCACCAGGGAGGCCCCTGCCAGTAGATCTTTAAGACTTAGTGGAAGTTCTCCAAGGTTGCCCTTTCTTCAACTCACCCTCTCTCCCTGGTTCCCTGACATTTCCCTCAAGTAGGAGAGGCATCTGACAGTAGCCATTTGTCCTCCATCACTTCTAGAACATGCAATGCTCAGGAGTCTCCCTCTCACCCACTGTCCCCATAGGCCAGTGCTTAGACACTGTCCACTCCCCCAGCACAGTGTGCCTGGAGACCCTGGCTTTAATCAGAGTGCCCCGAGACCCCATGCTCTCTCATGGCTGCTTTGTGAATCACATAGTATATGGCAAAAGGCACCTACTTTCCTCAAAACCCTGACTATGGACTCATAAAACACTAAAGTAAATACACATCTTTCCTTTCAAGGTTGGTTTCTCTGGCTTGACTTTGAAATATGTTTTAAAAGTTCAGATTGTTAGCACAGAATCAGTGGTGGGAACAGGATTTAGGAGTTGGGTGTGTGGAACAGCAGGTGAGGTAGTGGTCAGAAATTATTTTGTAGCTTTGTTTCTGCAGATCTAGCCACTCTAATTTGCCAATCTGGGCATAACAAATATACCTCCCCTTTCATGCAGCGTGAGCAAGGAATAGAGATGGGGATGTGAAGGAGAGAGAAAGAGCAAACCTGTGGTAGAATATAAGATGAGGGGAAGACCCAGTGGAATTGTCTCCAATCTGCTGATGAAGAGAGAGAGGTGATTCTTATTCCTGGCTGAAACCACTGAGCCTGGTTAGCAAAAAGTAAAATAACAAGTTCTAGTAGAGGCTTTTCCCCAGCATCTGATTCTTCCATCTGGCTGTCCACTGCCATTATCATCCCTTCCAGACACCTCAAGGGCAAAAGTCCAAACTGAAGCCTTTGA